TTTGGGAAGCCCCCCAGGGAAGGCCGGCTCCCTGTCTCTGCGCAGCCTCAGAACATCCTAATGAATGAGACATGCGCACCAGGCTACAGTGTGACTGCAAACATCATGGACACCTTCAAGATGTCCCCTCCAGTGCTTGCAATCCTTCCTCCAGAGGGGACACTGCTGGTCACTGCAGGCCTCAGATTGCCTGCTCTGTAGCTCGGGGGTCCCGGGTGGGGAAAGCCGAGAGGTGTAGTTCAAGTCTGTCCATAGGCAGCTCAGAATACAGTACTGGCCACTTGCTCAGCACAGGGACCCATTTAGTACAGGGACCCCAGCTCAGCACAGGGACCCCAGTTCAGCACAGGGAGACCCACTCAGCACAGGGACCCTGCTCAGCACAGGGAGCCCCACTCAGCACAGGGACCCTGCTCAGCATGCTCAGCTCAGCAGAGTTATATGTCATGAAACTTAAGCCAGAAAAGTAATGTGTCTTGGTTCCACTTTCAGTAAAAGGCCTGATCCTCTCCCTGTGGGCTCGGGAGAGTTGGGCTTTCTAAGGGCTGGTGAACTAAGCCAGCTACCTGGATGCTGCTCCCAAGTACCTCAGGCAACATGGCAACGCAGCCTGGTTTGGCTATCTGCCCTGCCCCATATCCCCCTGCAGGAGCCAGGCCTTTCCTGGGTAGCAAGCGCTGACCCTCTCTAGGCACAGGGCAATCTGTAGGCACCCCTCACGTGGGACCAGAAACACAGGTATGGGGGACCCATAGCCTCTGTGCTGCTCTCCAGGAAAAGGTACGGGCCTCCACCCCCAAGGGCCCCAGAGGCCCCTGGTTAAGCACTGACTGCTGTGAAAATGATCGGTGGTGGGAAGCACCCTCCCTCCCCCAACCCCACCCCTTCAGCCAGAGGTTGAGAGAGAGAGAGAGAGAGAGAGAGAGAGTGACCTGGGAGCTGACCTGCAGGGGTCAGGCCTAAAAGTCCAGAGTGGACACTGGTGTGAGCAGAAACCAACCAGAGAGGCAGTGAATAACAACATCATCCTTGACCCCACTGTGCCCTGGCCAGCGGGCTCTTTCTGACTCATAGTGACCCTACAGGGCAGGGCAGAGCTGCCCCTGTGGGTTTCCCAGACTGTAAACCTTCATGGGAGCAGACCACCCCATCATTCTCTCGAGGAGCAGCTGCTGGTTCTGAACAGCAGCATGGTGGTAGCAGTCCGAGGCTTACCCCTCCGCGCCACCAGGATGCGTTTTGGCTCACACTAGAGTTCTGTCCGCCCCTCCCTCGGGCAGTGGGAAAGGCGTCCGCCAAGGATGCTCTCACCATTCTCTGCCCGTGACTGGTTACCGTGCCAGGCAGGGTCCTGGGTGGCACCTGCAGTTAAGCATTTTGCTGGCCGTGCATGGCAGTCCCTGGGAAAGGTCATGCGTGGACACTCATGGGGTCCCCAGACTCTGGGTGTCTCTGGAGGCCGGTCTGCCACGCTCTCCACAGGTGCAGCTGCTGTCAGAGCCTGGACTCCCCACCCCAACGACGGTCAGCAGGAAAACCTGCCAACTGCCGCCCCCAGACAAGGGATGGGGTGCTCCTGCCAGCTGAAGGGCCCCCACCAGTCAGAACGTGGACACACACCAGGAAATGAAGGCTGGGCTGACCACCTGCGAGCGCTGAAGGCGTCTGCTGGCCCAAGGAGCAGTTGAACCACTTTGGAATGATGTTTCTCTTCCAGCGGGGAACAGCCTCTGTCCTGGAGTTATTTTAAGACCTGGTTGTTTTTCCGAATAAGGAGAATCATCTCCATGTGGGCGGCACGGTGAAGCGGCTACGGGGAGAAGCATTCACAGCACATGGCTCCACTGAGTCTGCACAAAACGGTCCTGTGCCCGAGTCAGGTTTCCATTGTCCACGAGGAGAGGACTCCGCACCCCCAGGGGACAGGCCAACCGCCCCCTCCCTCCCTCATGGCACCCGGGGCCACCTTATAGCGCTGGCAGTCGCCTCTCCACTGACCCTGCTGCCGACCCTCCCTGATGGGAACATTTCTAGACCCTGGTAGCCAGTTGCCCTGCAAGTTGGGGGACAGCTTCCATCTTATACTGAGGGTCCTGGCACTTGTGAACAAGCTGGGGGAGGGTTCTCCAGTGATGAGTGATGCCAGGGGGACGTGAATGTGCCCTATTTGCCGTAACCGGGGAAACCGCCCTTGGCTCTGGTAGAAGGACACTGCCCATCATCAGAGCTGGTCAGCCTCCTGGACCTATTGCCCCTGTGCTCTCCTCTCCTCTGTCCCAGCACGGCCCTGAGTCCGCTTGACTGGAGGGCAGAGAGTGATTTGTGGTCCTGCTGAAACAGACCACCTATGGGGGGCTTTCCTTTTGCCCAGAAATCAGGAATAAAGCCCATCAGTGGGAGACTTGGCTATGAAGCACAAAGATCCCTCAGAGAGGGTAGGAAAGCCACTCCAGAGGGTTGCCCAAGGGATGCCCAGGCCACCAGTCAGCACGAGAACTCAAGAGGCATGCACCTGGGGAGTGGCAGCCACACCCTGTGTTTTTTCCTCCTTTCTCTTCCTCCTCTGCCCACCACCCCCACTTCCTCCTCGAACACAGGAGACAGTCTGAAACATAGTGTCTCTCACCTGCCGCAACAGGAGACAGTCTGAAACATCGTGTCTCTCACCTGCAGCAATAGGAGACAGTCTGAAACAT